TGTAAGGAAGGGTGATAAGTGCTTTCTCAACAGCTGATTCCTAGCCAGCTGGGGCAGTGGCCCAGGAGTCTTACAACGTTAATCCCCAGTGTCAAGAATCGTGACTCAGCTCTTCCCGCTATGAGCATTACAGCTCTACTTTACGAACCTGTCGCCTTGATTATTGTTGACCCCACCCCACCAGCCCCATGCATGTCAGAAGCCTTTTAAAATTGAATGCCGAGGTTTTCGTAGGGTTTTTTTTAATAAAAAAAAACAAGGTCTTGTAGCTTACGTAAGGGTTTCAACGGGGCAGCCCTTGTGCTGCTGACTCTATACTGTCAAAGCCCTCTAATCTAATCCAAAACAGGAAGACTGCAAGTAACATAAGTTCAAGAGGAAAAGGATTATAAAGCCTCTGTACGTGAGAGGCCTGGTGCTCTATTGTGGCTTAGGAAATTCTGACTGAGTCAGGGTCAAACCATCTATCAATATCTTCTGAGGGAGAAGCCTAGGAGGACGCCTGGGGCCTCTTCTTGTGCTGCTTTTTATATGCACGTGTCTCTTAAAAGCACTAGGTGTTTTTGAATGTATCTAATGTGTTCTAAAGAAGCTTTATTGATTTAACTGTGTAATGCTTGCTGATAAAAAGAAATCTAGGAAAACACCAAGGGAGGCGGCATTGCACTGCACAAGACAACTGGCCCATCTGGACCAGTATTTATTGACACTGGCTGGCAGCAGCTTTCGGAAGCTTGGGGAAAAGTTCCTTTCCCCCACGCCTAATTCTTTAGCCAGGGATGAAAACTGACGCCGCATGCAAGGGATGTTTTCTATCACCGAGTTATGGCTCCTGACACAGTGATCGGAAATTTCCCCTCCCCATACAGTGGTACCTCGGGTTAAGAACTTACCGTAATTCGTTCTGGAGGTCTGTTCTTAACCTGAAACTGTTCTTAACCTGAATCACCACTTTAGCTAATGGGGCTTCTTGGTGCCGCCGTGCCGCCGGAGCACGATTTCTGTTCTCATCCTGAAGCAAAGATCTTAACCTGAAGCACTATTTCTGGGTTAGCAGAGTCTGTAACCTGAAGTGTATGTAACCTGAAGCGTATGTAACCTGAGGTACCACTGTAATTCCATTTCTCTCTCTATATATATTTTGACACACCTGTGACACAGTCCCCTCATAAGAAAGCAAGATCCATTCCTAGTTCTCTTTCTTTCTTTCTTTCTTTCTTTCTTTCTTTCTTTCTTTCTTTCTTTCTTTCCTCCCTCAACTTTTCATCCTCACTGCCTCACAAATTATAGAGCATCCTCCTCGAAAGAGAGCCATTTCCCTACTTGTCACACCACCCCGGTTTTCTTCTCATGTGCCTTTTTCTTCATGGGTGTCCAGAGGCATTTTTCCCAGGGTGTGTGTGGTGGGGGAGGGATGTGAAGTAAAACAGTGTTGGGGAGAGCAAGCTAGTTACTCACAAAAATAAAAATAAAATAAATGTCTGTACATTTTGACTTATACTTCAGGTTCTACAAATGCTAGAAATGTAACTTTTTTTAAAAAAAAAAGGAAAGGTGGGAATCTGTGGGTTATGGTTCATTGGGGGGGGCAGCATTTGTCCCCATGGCCACCCATGCTTTCCTTGCACCTATTGGGGCAGCCCTCCCAAATCCATTCCCAGGTTTCTTCCAAGTTCTCTCTTGCTTTATTTGTCCCTGCCTTGTTTAATTTATCTACATTCCCTCCCAATATTTTTCTAGGGGCGTTGTTTTTCTCTCCCCTGTACCCCCCCTTTAATCTTTGCCTCATTTCTGTTTCATTGCACTTTTAAGATACCCCCTGACCTTCCCTCAGCCACTTACACCCCCTGTTTGGTTTGTATCTCGGTCTCTGAACAGCTCATAATATAAATAAAAGTGAATTTCCAATTTTTTTTAAAGAGGCAGTATCCTGCTTACACACGTGTGCCCTTCACGCTTGATGAGGTGTGTATGTGTTTAGTATTCAGGATAGGCATATACAAGAACAAACTAGTAAAATGAGAATCTGCCTTTAGGCTTGGAATATCTTGAATTCCTTTCCAACCCCCATGACAGCATATCTGGTAGTCATACGACAACCGCAACTACTGTCGTTTTCTGCTTAAGTCATTTTGTAGCCATAACATGCAGTGTACAGAACCATGTTTGTTCTGTGTGTCATGTTACACTTTTTTTTTGAGGAAAATATGATTCTCCTGTTGACATTTGCTCTTCCCCAGTCGCTTCTGCATCCAGTGCGATGGCAGGGCATGTTAACATTATGCACGGTTCTGCTTTCTGAGAATGTGGAGTCAAAGCTTTCATATTCCCTCTTGAGTCACGAGGGGGAAGGAGGCAGGGTTAGAAACTCAGATATATAAGTTAATGGCTCCTTAAACCTAGATTAGGGCCGCCACAACGGTATGTCTAGGTGCCATTCCCCGCCCAGTGGAGATGATGATGAATTTTATTTCTATAGCGCTTTATATTTTAAAGAAAAAACCTCAGAGCGGTTTGCAACACATTAAAACATCAAATAAAACAATCCAGAATAAAACAAATTCAAGCTTCAAGCAAAATAGTTCAGATCCTCCTCTAAGTGACATTTTGCTTTCCCCATATTTATTCAGTGTCGGGCTAGGACCTGGGAGATCAGGGTTCAAGTCCCCACTCAGTCATGAAGCTCACTGGGTGATCTTGGGCCTCTTAACCCACCTCACAGGGTTGTTGTAGGAATTAGCTGTGGGGGGGGGGTGAACCATGTACTCATTGGAGGAAAATCTCGGATTTAGATGCAATAAATAAGCTCTTCTATTTACTAGCTTAAGAAAGCTGGAGGGGCCAGCCTGATGGAGATGTCAGTCACCAGCCTGGCATCCAGAAATCTCCACGTAGTCGCAGTTAGACCCATGCCAGAAGCAAAACGCACCTGGCGCCTGGCTAATTTCTAACACTTGGAGGGAAGGAGATCATGACTGAAAGACAAGGCAGAGATATGACTGCCCTAGAGCTGTAAATCAGGGGTAGGGAAACTGTAGCCTTCCGGATATTGGATTCCAACTTCCATTTCCCCTGACTGTTGCCCATGCAGACTGGAACTGGTGAGAGTTGGGGCCCAAGAACAGCTGGAGTCCCCATCTTTGCTAAAATTAATTCAACAGCAGATTTTTCTTTTAACAAAGAAAGTTTTTTTAAAGGTTTTTTTGGCCTCCTTTGGTTTTCAAAAGTGAAATTTGTGCATTTCAATTAGAAGAAGGCTACATCAGAATTATTAAGTAGCTGTGAATAATTTAGAAACCAAATCAAAATAGTTGTCCATCACAATGATCACATTTTCTTACTGTTTGGTGTAAGAAATTAGTGGACGTAAGCAGCCAAGAATGTGCCTGCCTTTTTCATTTGAACTTTGATTTTTTTATTTTGCACTGGAATATGCACTAGTAAATCAGTGAACACATTTTGTTAATTGGCACTGTAAAGAACTTTCAGAAACACCTTAAGTATATCAGCCATCAGTTTGTTGCTATTTGCTCCGTTTGAAAGCATAATAAAAATATGTAACGGGGATGGTTAGGGACATATGTCACTCTTCAAAAATGACTTCATGGTTGGTGATTTCTACCTTCATCTTGTTGCCAGCTTCTAATAGCCTGACATGCTTCAGATAATATAGAAATAAGAATAATGTATACCACTGTTGTATGTTTATACTGATTGATTGATTTGATAGCAAATACTGGGTGATATTCAGCTATGTTTTAGTCAGAGTGGAACCCTTGAAATGAATAGACCTAACTCTGCTAATTAATTCCAGTGTTTGATAAAACCTAGTAGAATACCTCTAACTGTCTTTTAGTATTGAGATTTGCAGTTATTATTTCATAGATTTCCAGTCTGTATTTTAAGGATTAGTTGTCATTCTAAGAAGCCAATGTTAAGATTCCAATATTTAAAATAGCGGCAAAAACAATTAACAACAATAAAATAATCTAGAATAAAATGGTTCTTTAAAATGACAGCCATAAAACCATCTGAATGTAAACTAAAATAATAATAATAAATATTTGCAGCTTTACTAAAGGACAGTCTGATGGGGGGGGGATATGAATTTTCTTGGAGATTGCAGCAGTCCTTTCAATGATGATGATGATGATGATGATAAATAATTTATTATTTATACCCGGCCCATCTAGCTAATACATTAAAGCATCAGTCATTAAAAACTTCCCTAAAGTGGGCTGCCTTCAGATGTCTTCTAAACATCAGATAGTTGTTTATCTCTTTGACATCTGATGGGAGGGCATTCCACAGGGCGAGTGCCACTACCGAGAAGGCCCTCTGCCTGGTTCCCTGTAACTTGGCTTCTCGCAGTGAGGGAACCGCCAGAAGGCCCTTGGCGTTGGATCTCAGTGTCCGGGCTAAATGATGGCGGTGGAGACGCTCCTTCAGGTATACAGTGGTACCTCGGGTTAAGTACTTAATTCGTTCCGGAGGTCCGTACTTAACCTGAAACTGTTCTTAACCTGAAGCACCACTTTCGCTAATGGGGCCTCCCGCTGCCGCCACGCTGCTGGAGCACAATTTCTGTTCTCATCCTGAAGTAAAGTTCTTAACCCGAGGTACTATTTTTGGGTTAGTGGAGTCTGTAACCTGAAGCGTATGTAACCTGAAGCGTATGTAACCCGAGGTACCACTGTACTGGGCCAAGGCCGTTTAGGGCTTTTAAACTAGCCATAGGATGTCCTTTTGAACTTGGAGTAGAAACATTCAAGTCTGCAAAAGTTCCATTCACTGGGTTGGCCATGCTCCTAAAAATCTGCCGTTCATGTCTAGAAAGTTTAGAATGACATTATTCTCATGCATCTGTATGTAATGTCAGGTCGTAGACAGTTCGGTTTCCCCCAGCCTGGAATATGCTGTTTCTTAAAAAAGAAACTAAGGCAATAGCTGAATTTAACTTCTTAATAAATAACTGTATTTTTCTACCTTTTCTTTTTCAGGAAAAGAGGGATAGAAGTTATACAGGTGAGTACAATTGTTTTCCCGTCCCCCAATTCTTTAAAGGGGTTTTCTTTCTAAATCTCTTTATCTATGTTTGGTATCACTGCCTTTCAAGTTTTCCTTTCTTCGCGGTGACGGACTTGTACTTCTAATGCTGGATTGCGGATAGGTTTCATTATGCCATAGTATTGCAATTATGGGGTGGAAGCAGGCATTGCAAAAAAACAACAACACATGGTTTCCAGAGCACACTGCATTGCTTTTGGCACTCAAATTATGAGAACAAACGTAGGGAGTTCCTAGTGCAATTCTCAGTATCTCCTTCTGGCTCCACCTATTTGTAGTCAAATCATGCCCTCCAGTAGCCTTTTAAAAAGAGGGTCTAAGGGGGCAGCCTCCCTCTGCCCCCCTGTAATCCATGTAATATGGTTATTCCCCCTGTCCTGCCTTTCCCTTGTAATGTGGTGATGAAACACACAATGGGTTGTGTGTCTTATTACTACGTGTGATGGGGAGAAGAGGAGATATTAAGCAGAACGTCGCAGGAGAAGCCATCTGTTGTTGGCAGTGCCTTATATACACCCAAAGGGTGATATTCATTGTTAGTCATTCTCTGAGCAAAGGCATCAAAATCAGTGGATTTAAGTTGTTGAGGTCCATTGACTTCCATGAGTCTACTCTGAGTATGATTGATGTTGGAGATCACCCAAAGACTTAAGGGAAGGGGGAAAACCCCTATTATGAATGAATGCACAAGATGTGCCAGTAGAAAGAACGAAAAATGAAATACTCAACAATACGCTGTTATAAATGTCTTCAAGCATCTGGACTTGGCTAATGTCAGAAGGTCTACATTGCTTTATAACCCGTTGCCCTGACTCAGTAGGAGTCACCCGGTGAAGTTTGCTTTAATTAAAAATTGTAATCCTTGGCTCCAGTCATCCATCTAATTCTTGGAGCTCAAAAATAGGGCAGCAGTGTCTCACTGAATGAAGAATCCAGATCCATGACTAATATTGATCGGCTGGAGATGTTGTACAATGACTGGTGTTGGTTCTTTTTCTTCTTCTGCGTTCCAGCGACATTAGTGCAAAGCAAAGGTTTTGCTGTAAAGGGATGGAGTATATTTTTTTCAGTGCCTCGTAGTAAAAAAAAATCCATTATCGCTAGTGAATCCTGTTTGAAGATTATTATTCAAGAACAAAATTTTGTACTTCAGAATAAGTGTAATACAGTGGTACCTCAGGTTAAGAACTTAATTCGTTCCGGAGGTCCGTTCTTAACCTGAAACTGTTCTTAACCTGAGGTACCACTTTAGCTAATGGAGCTTCCCGCTGCGCCTCCAGAGCATGATTTCTGTTCTCATCCTGAAGCAAAGTTCTTAACCCGAGGTACTACTTCTGGGTTAGCGGAGTCTGTAACCTGAAGCGTCTGTAACCTGAGGTACCACTGTAGTTACAAAAGCATAGGGAGGAGATCCTTACAGTTGCTTGCAGAACTGGAGATGCTACTTGGAGAAAATCACCAGAAGAAATGGCTAAAGCTTTTCTAGCTTTCAATTCAGAGGGGCTAGTTTTATGAGAATCTACCTACAGTGTGTTTTCATGGAAGAACATCCTTCCCACTCTGCAAACGGGGCCCTATGCACCTTGCCAGCTTCTTGGTTCTCATTCACTCAAAAGACATCTCAGGGTTAGGCTTAGGTGTGCCATACTGGAGCTTGATTTTCCTCGCTTCCCAAAATGGATAGCAAAACCTCAGATTATTATTGCATAAGGATAAATGAATTGCTTTTGTCAAATTGCTCATAACCTGTTGCAACATTTCATGGCAGAACAATTTTGTGCGTTCAGAGAGGCAGTACTGGTGCCTTATCAATTGCAGATCACTGTTCCTCTCGAACAGGAATTTATGAAATCTCAAATCTAGGAGCAGAGGCGGCCAGTGCTTTTCCACCTTTCAGTTTGGATTTGCGTTTCTGTGTAAATGCACATACCAAGAGTACATTTTGAAGAGCTTGCTGAAAATCCTGAGAAATCAAAATAGGATGGACTCAAATTGAAACTTGCAACTCAGCTTGAAGTTGTAACAGGAATATATTAATAGATACTATTCTTAAAGATTTATCTGTTTTTACTTAACATGCTGTAACATGCTGTGCTTCCATCAGAAATATGACCCATCGGAACATATAGGAGTCAGAGTATTTGTCTATCTAAGCTCAAAATGCTCTGAACACAGATTGGCAGGTTCTCTATAGAATTTCAGGTGGGTGTTTTCCAGTCCTAGTAGAGATGGCAGGGGTTAAAAAGGGGACCTTTTGCATGTAAAGCAGCCCTTTCCCAAGCTGATGCCTTCTAGATAATGTCCAACTGCAGCTCCTACCAGCTCTCACCCGCATGGCCAACAGCTGGGATTATGAGAGTTTTATTCCAACAATATCCAGAGGGCACCAGTTTGGGGAAGGCTTACGTAAAGCATGTGTTCTACCCCTGAGCTATGGCTTCTCCTCAGGGCAGCTTACAAAATTCATATATAACTCAGGCAAACTAAAAACATCACAGAGGCATGCAAAAGTGCAGAGGATCAGTCTAAATAGCCTTCTCTGCTAATAAAGAAAAATTAACTGGCCAGTCCAAAGAGGGAGATTCTTATCAAGCAGGTGCTGTTAAGACAGCTCTTGCACATAAAAATAGTCTTGCTTTTGGTGATGAATTGGAACAACTTTTTTGTTGTTGCCACAGTTGTAGTCTTAATTTGAGATTCCTGCCCTGCTAAATTAGCAGATTTGCCCTTTTAAACTGTGTTCCAATTCTAGCTTGATCTAATAGCGTCCTCCCCAGTGTGTCAACTCTGTAATGCACGTCCTTCCGTCATAAGAACAGCCCTGCTCAGATCAGGCCAGAAGTCCATCTAAGTCCATCCATCCTGTTCTCTCCGTGGTCAACTGGATGCCTATAGGATTCCGAACCTGAGTACCAGAATGCTATGCCCAGTTGTTACTGGTATTCAAAGACACAAGGCCTCCAACAGTGGACACAAAATCTGGACATTGTGGCTAGAAGCCATTGATAGTCATTTCCTCCATTAAATTGGTCTCAACTTCTTCTAAAACCATCCAAGTTGGAAGCCAAGATTACTTGTTGTGGAAGTGAACTCCAGAGGTTAACTACACGCTGGATGAAGAAGTGCATTCTTTTGTCTGTCCTGAGTCTTCCAACATTCAGCTTCATTGGATATCTTCTTTGTGAACAGCCCCCCACCCCGCCATTGTGTGCAGCATTGGCCAATGAAAGCTTTCCTGTTATCTTTAAATGCAAATAGGTTACAGTTCAGTCGCAGCCCATGAGACAGGAGAAAAAACTTGGCCAACGCTCTGCAGTATTGAATATACTATGCCTGCTTGGCTTGTGCAAATATTTGTTCTCATGATACGGCACCGCTTCATAAATCTCTACTAAGCTTGTGACACAAAATTGCTGGTCACAATGGGAAGATGTCGTTTCTCTGCTGCGGAACCGTTCTGCATGCTGTTGGGTGGAAATGCTGAAGGTTGCTGTACAGCACACTGGGAGGATTTAATTGGGTATTTTCACACCAGTTACTTCTGAAAATGGTCAACTCTTTAACTGTGGTTCATGTACCCTGGCTCTAGATTACGATATCCCGGTCTTAGTGAAGTGGTAGGGGGTGCATTTGTGTTAAGCAGTAGGCTTGCATTTGTTCCAGGATTATATCCTCCTGATCTATGCTTAGGAGAAGCCGGCGGTGGCGGCTGCTGACAACAACTACAGTTCCATATGTCTGCAGTCCTCTATTCTGTGTAGCCTGCTAATACTGTATGCAGGTTTACTTAGAAAAACTCCCTGTTTAAAAAAATAAAACACTGAGGGTGTGATCTGCTTGTACTGGCATCGTACCACCCATATACAGAAGCGGTGGTGGCACCCAGATTGTGGAACACCCTCCTTGTAGATGCATGATTTGCACTGACACTACAATCCTTTCAGTGCCAGATTAAAACTTCTATTTATGTGTGTTTGCCTGGACGTTTTTAAGCATTGGTTATATCGTCCAAGTGGCTGCTTCTGTTTCTTTATCTGTTTAGAAATGGTATAACTAGTTTAGTTATGCCCATTTCACATCGCTGTGCTATCCATGTAGGGGTGAATACCAGTTTATAAAAGTATTAGTTGGAAATTTAAAATAAAAAAGATTAAAATAATGCTACATTGAGGATTGTTCCCCCCCAAACCTTTGCATACACATCATCATCACCTTCATTGAATTGATATCTGAATCACCCTCCACAAATATGTCCCAAGGCGATTTATGGACATACTCCTAAAAACAGTGCTCTCAATTTACTGTTGCTGGGTTGTTGGGGTTGTTTTTTTGGGTTTTTTAAAAAACCAACACAGTTAAAATCTCCATCCTTTTAAAACAGCTGGATGCATCAGAAAGCTCCGAAGAAGCGAGTTTATCTTTAGCCAAAGTCAAGATACCGATGAAAACAGTTTGCACTAATTGTTGCCAGGCAACGGTTATTTTTGTGAAATATTGAGGGCTTTACTTTTGTGTGAAACATTAGTAGAATAAGCAAAGAACAGCAGAATATATCCAAGGAAAGGGAGCTTATAAAATACATATCGTATACATAGAGACTCGTCTGGAAGCCCTCCAAGCCAAGCACAGTTTGAAGAATGTTGGTGAACTGTCTCCCTGGGATCAGGGAAATGGTATTTACTTTTCTTTGCCTGCGTGCCAGTGGCTTACGAGAAAAAGGCACTGTTTTCTAGGATAGTTCAACTCTGGCTTCAGTGCCTAATGATGATGATGAAGATGATGATGTTAACAGCATTTATATTCTGCCCTTTAGCCGAAACGGCTCTTAGAGTGACTTACAAAACTCCATTCTAAGACAGTCCCTGCAGGGCATACAAGGAAATAAGCCTGGGAGGGAGGAGGAGAAAACAAGCTCAGACACACATTTTAAAGTTACAACCATTGTCAGTGGTCATTCT